GGAGGCGCTCTAGGCGGCCAAGGGCGAAGGCTTGATGATGCTGTATGCTCCGGTTTGTCTAGTACTCGTATTTGCTCTTTGTTAGGTTTGATGATGATTGCTTGAAAATCTAGTTCATATCACTTCTTTTCTTCTTCTGCTTCTTTGCCTCGCTTTTGAAAAATATTGATGTTGTTGCACCCTATGATGAAGCAATTCTGAGGGTTTAGATTGCTTGAGTCTAAGTTGCATTGAATGCTTGATACGTTTGCCTCTCTGATATGCTTCTGAGTGATGGCCTTGATGATGTTTATGATTCAGAATATTGTTGTCCTACCCCTATGATGAGCCTAGCTCTGAGGGCTTTATGATTTTGAATGTTATTCTGATTTTTGAGTTGCCTCTGAGATGCTTTGGTTGGACTTTGCTGGATTGATACTGGTTTAGGCTTTGAAGTTACAGGCCTTGGCTTCAGTTTGAGGCTTGGCTTCTGTTACACTTGCTTTTTATGTGTTTATTGCTGGCTTATGTGTTTTTGAAAGGCTTTTGGTTACAGGTCTAGAGGCTTTGAAATTTTGTTTGACAGGGCTTGTAGAAGTTTGGAACTTTAGGGCTTCTATTTTGCAGGTAGTTTGATAGTTTGAATGTTTGGGTGTTTGAAACAGGGCATGGGCTTTTGGCCTACTGTCTTGAAACAGGTTATAGGCTTTGAAAGCTTGTGGTGCTTCTGGTTTAGCTTGCTTTGATGCAGGTTAGGCTTGCTGTTTGTTTGAAGCAGGTTGGGCTTGCTGTTTGTTTGAAGCAGGTTGGGCGCAGCTTTGAGACTTTTTACAGTTTTTGTTTCTTTGGTATTTTCTGCCTCCTCTTCATCTGTGCTGACTGTTTGTTTTATATCTCTTTTCTCTAAGCCTAAGCCCTGTAAGCCCTTTCTTTTCTCTTTTTTTTCTCTCTCTCTACATTTAAAAAAGCATTTTTATTGCTTTAGAAATGTACTTTTCTGAAAAAGCATACTGGCTGGAAAATGATGAAATTGGATGTTGCTTGTATGTTAGCCTTTCCTCTGCATACTTTCCATACTTCCTGCATATTGTGGACAACATTTTGTACTTGTTTGATAGCTTGAATAGCCTTTGGACAATTTGATATCTTTCTATATCTCTTGGACAGCTTTGGACAGTTTGAAATTGTAACTTTCAGTTTGCCTTTTTGATTTGGTTAGGCCTAGTTCAGTTTGCCTTTTATCCTTGGTTTGGAATTTTGGATTTATGCAGTATGTTTGACAAGCTTTGAATTTGTGCAATTTGTATACTTGTGCATTTCATACTTTAATTGCAAGCAAACTTCCATCCCTCTTTGTGAACCAAGAGAAATCTTGTGATTTGCAGAGAGGGCAAACTGATTCCGGCCAGTCACTTTTAATGATGATTTTTTAACTGTCTACCTTTTATTTCTTTTCCTCTATCACAAAGTTCTGAGACTTATACTTCTGCACCAACAGAAAATGGTCATGATTCTTTATCTGATCCTACTCCTGTTATAAGGAACTTTGTGAATCTGAGCCTATATTTTCTCATGTAGAAACCAATGAAAATCCTGAAAATGATGACAATGATGATCTAATTGAAATGACACAAAATAATGAGTCACTTAAAGAAAACATATTTGAATTAGGAAATGGGACTTAGAAAGGGAAGATTTTTGTGAAAAAGAACCACAAAGGAAGGGATGAGTCCACATCTCAACACTGTCAAGAATCTGAATTCGGTAATGATCAACCTCCTAAAAATAGGAAAGGTAAGTCTATCTCTATTTCCGAGAGTATTATTTTGTATTATGATATAGATGAACCTGTTGCCATTAGAAAACCTGTTGAATCTTGCACTAAACACCCCATATCCAATTTTATATCATATTCGAATTTGTCTTCATCTATGTCTGCCTTCACCTTAAAATTGTCTAGTATAGAAATTCCAAAAAGTGTATAAGTTACTCTAGAAATTCCAAAGTGGAGGGAAGTTGTACTTGAGGAGATGAAAGCTTTTGAAAAGAACAAAACTTGGAGTGTTATGTCACTACTAGATGGCAAGAAGACAGTTGGATGCAAATGGGTGTTTATTATGAAGTATAATTCAAATGGGTCAATTGAAAGGTACAAGACTCGCTTGATGGCTAAAGGCTTTACTCAGACCTACAATATAGATTACTCTGAGACATTTTCTTCTGTTACAAAATTGAACACGATCTGAATTCTTTCATCTCTTGCTGCTAACCTGGATTGGCCCCTACATGAGTTAGATGTTAAGAATACCTTTCTTAATGGTGATCTAGAAGAAGAAGAAGTATATATGGACATTCCTCCTGGTTTTGAAAAAAAATTTGGATCAAGTGATTGCAAACTAAATAAGTTTTTGTATGGATTAAAGAAGTCCCATAGAGCTTGGTTTGAAAAATTCACCCAGTCCATAAAGAAACAATGATACGTCCAAGGACAGGCTGAACACACCTTGCTCACAAAGTTCTCCCACGATGGAAAAGTTGTTGCCCTGATTGTTTATGTTAATGATATTGTCCTTATTGGAGATGATACAATGGAAATGGAAAAAGTAAAAGAGAAATTGGCAGGTGACTTTGAAATCAAGGACTTGAGATTCATGAGATATTTTTTAGGTATGAAGGTTGCTCGGTCAAAGAATGGTAATATGGTTTCACAGCAGAAATACATTCTAGACTTGTTGAAAGAAACATGAATGAGGAAATGTCGTTCTGCAGATACCCCTATAGATCCTAATGCTAAACTTCGGGGAGAAGGTAATGTTCCTGTTGATACTGGAATATATTAGAGATTGGTTGGGAAACTGATTTATTTGCCACACACCCGATCTAATATTTCTTTTTCAGTTAGTATAGTGAGTCAATAAGATACTGAAATATTTGAAGGGAAATCTCGAAAAAGGATTATTTTTTAAGAAGACTAGGGAAAGAAATGTGTTTATCTTCACCAGTGCTGATTGGGCAGCTTCAGTCATAAATAGAAGATCAACCTCTGGATATTGTACTTATGTTTGAGGTAATCTTATGACATGGAGGAGCAAGAAACAAGGAGTTGTAGCAAGGAATAATGCAGAAGCTGGGTTTAGAGATATGTCTTAAGGTATTTGTGTTGGATTATGGATCCTTAGAGTCCTAGATGAACTTAAGATGAAAATTGAGCTTCCATTTAAATTGTACTATGACAGTAAAGCTGCTATTACCATTGCTCATAATCCAGTTCAATGGGACAGAACCAAGCATATTGAGATTGATCGACACTCTGTAAAGGAGAAATTAGATATTAGAATCATATGTCCACCCTTTGTGACTTCAAGTCAGCAAACTGCAGATATCTTGACCAAAAGTTTGGCAAGACCTACTTTTGAGTATTTGATAGACAAGTTGGACATGATAGATATCTATGCACCAACTTTAGGAAGGGGGTGTTGGAAAATATTATATTTTCGATTTTGTTATTTCCTTTATGGCTATCTTTATTTTTATTTATTTTCTTTTATTCTCCGTTAAGGAGAAAATTAAATGTATTAATTGTTTCTTCTCTATATAAACCATCCTAAGACTGAAGAATACAATAGAACAATATTGTATCATTCTTTTCAATATTTTCATATATTTAGTCCCGAGTTTGATCACATTAGAGTTATGTACATGTTTGTTAGATTGTGGTAGTGTTAACAAATAGATTTTTTGATCACATTAGAGTTATGTACATGTTTGTTAGATTGTGGTAGTGTTAACAAATAGATTTGATGAATTAATGTGTTAAAGTAGTGAGTAGACAAACATTGCTTAATTAGTCACTTTAGGTATGAAGGAATAAAGCCATAGGAGCTAAACATAACATGTTTTACTTGAAATGTACTAGTGCTATTGTGTGGATTAGGCCATAGTTATTTACTACATATTTGCACGTTGTTGATAAACACCACAAAATTTAGTTCTATCCTCACCTGTCATGACACCACACACTAAATATAAACATTAGAGGAGTTCATAAAATGTATCATTGTCCGACATATTATCCCACTCTATTTTAACCATTTGTTATTTCTCTCTAATTTCCATAATTTTAACCACATAAAACAGATTATTATTTGTTACTATATTTCATGCATTATTTTACAAAGTTTAAATTGATTGATCAAAATGTTTAATACAATTTTCCAGAGATTAATACTTTTCATATCACTTGCTATTAATTTTCCTGAATCTATATATACTTGCATATACATAACAAAGTAATAAGTTTATATCTTCTTCCTAATTCTATTGAGGAAGATATTCAATAAAATGAGTAACTCGTTCTAATCTTAGTTAAAGGAGACACATGACAAATCTACATTATCTTAAATGCCAAAAATTCCATTTTGCATTGCAGCATGAGCATAGTACTAAACTAGTAAACTTGGTGGTAACATTAATAACAACAGCATCTTTTCTGAGACACAAACTTCAATCATTGTCACTTTATAAAACACCATTAATTGATTTTCACAAAAGATCAATATTTGGTGCATTATTATCGACTCTCATTGCTTTGAATGTCAGAGAAAAATTCAATAATCAATCAACCCATCCATCTAAATAATAGTAGATGCTGCTGACACAAGTCATTAAAGATCATGCATATGGGTCCCTTTCTATGTTCTTCATGGTAACAATTACCAATGAAGATAATTGAATCTCACTTCCACTTCATGTGATTGTGATGTGTATCTATGCTCCACATGGTCAAATCAAACACTTTTCATTCATAAAGAAAAATCAACAGTTCTGGTTTTTCATTAAACATATAATTATATCAACTCTATCACATGTGTCTATCAACCTAAATGGATTGTTCCAGACACAAGCTAAGGTTGTAGTTACAAAGCAAAATGTCTATAAACTTCAATTTACAACAAATTGGCATATTCATGAGCATTTCTTGCCTTTATTTCTAAAGTAAGATACCATTAGGCTTTTTAAATTCAGCAACGTGAACCCTTTTTGCAGTTTAATGATCCAGCTGAGGCAGTGATAGAAGCAACTACAGAAGATGGTTTTGCTGCTAAACTTGATGCTCTTGCATAGCTTGATGATGAACCTGCTCCTGATGCTCTAAAGAATGCACCATTCAACATCAAATCGCCACTTGATCTCCAATTCCAATTCTTCCATTGGCTTTGTCCCGCATTCTCGCGCTTCGTCACCTGAAAAAATTAGTAACAGCTCTACTTTGTAACTTAAAGAGACAAAGTTCAAATCTCATAAAACGATTGTCAAATGATAGGCCTGTCTTTGAGGACAGACAAGACAGACTACCACACAGGGTCTAAAATTAACCACAGTTAAATCATAGTTAAATAAAATCTCTGTTTGTTTTTCTTTAGTTAAACTGCGACTAATCTACATAAGGCCTTCAAAAACTTGAAATGCACTGGAAATAACTACCAGTGTCACTGATAAATCCAAGGAAAATCTTATATTATTCCATGGATCTAACTAACCTCTTTGAAGGTGTTATCATTGGAAGCAAGAAATCTATTCCCTTGACTATTGATTGTTGGATTAGCACTTCCACCTATAGCATACATTCTCCATTGTGTATAATCATTGTTCACCACATGAAAATATCCATGTCTACATCTACAAATCCAACAAACATACTAAGAAAAAGAAAAAGAAAACTAATCCAATAAAGTATAACATAATTCAAGAGAATATGTTACATTACCTTGGCATTCTTTGAACTAGTCCTTCACCAAAATGGTTAAAAGCAATAGTAACTTGCATATTCTTATCTCTAGTGAAACTATCACTATGACCCAAAAGCATAACCTTATTATGATGAGTCATAAAATTATTAGAAATAGTAATAGCAGTAGATCCATGAATAACATCGATCAATCCATCGCGACAATTCGAAAGAGAACAATGATCAACCCAAATATGACTCCCACCAAAAATCGAAATCCCATCACCATCCGAAAGTGTTCTAAAACCATAATGTGTAGGTGAATCTCTCACATAAGTATTCCCACCTCTCTTACAATCATGCACATTAATCCCATGAATTATAATATTCGTCACGAATTGCATCGTTATACAAGGTCCACCAGCAATGTGCACATTTGTTCCTCTTCCATCAACTGTTTTGAATGAATTCATCATTAGCTCTTGCTTAAGCTTAATCACCATGTCGCGTTTGAAGATTATCCATAACGGTTCTTCTTGAATAACACCATATCTTAATGTTCCTGGTTTCGGTTTCACAGGATGATCACCAGGGTCAGTTACTACATATATTTTACCATCTCTTCCTCCAATTGCATGTTTGCCAAATCCAATGGCACAATCTGCTAAACTTTTCCGATTCTTTTCCCAGTTTTTGTCACATCTCCAACAATCATCAATTGGATTGCCACTTCCACAAGAAAGAAATGCTAAATTTCTCCTTGAATCATTAATACTCCTACAATAAAAAACAACAAATTTTAATATGTAATATTAAAAAATATGCTATATATACACTAATTAATGAGAAAATGTGTATATATACTTACTTTTGTACTTGTTGGACTACTAACTCAGGATCTTGAATGAGGGAAGATTGAATGAAAGAAGGTACAAGAAGAAGTAGTAATAAGAGTGGAATTGCCATAACTTCTTGAACTACCCTCAAATCTTAAGAAACAGTGAAGGTAGAGTATGTTTTTGTTTATGAAAAAATGCTAAGATAGTTTATACTATATATAGGGAACAAAATGGAAATTTATGCCTCATTAAATAAATCACTATTTGGTTCACATGACCCAACATTTACATGATTTTAAGGTAATCATTATTGATCAACCGAATTATAAACATTTACGTTATCAGAATCGTCTTTAATTTTTAGCAACAGTTTAACCATGACAAATTTATAATAAAAAAATATTTAACAACGGTTTTACTTTGACAAAATTTTGACCTATTTTGTAATTCATCTTAACTGAGTACCGACACTTGCATAAGTGATGTTTTTTTGGCTAACTATATGTAGTGTGTATGGTGTTAGGGGTTTACAGAAAGTAGACCCTACCATAGTGAATTTGAGCTCATTATTACTATAGATTTTGCTATGGCCGTTGGAGTAGGTTTCTACTTTCACAAACATTGCACTAGCATCATTTATTACAGACCATAGCTTCACCAATATTCCTGTTCCATTTTCTTGTGGTGAAATTTATTTCCCTCTGCAACTCAACAGTTGCATAAAAAAAATTGTATTTTTGTTTAATTTTTCTTCTTCATGAAGATAAAAATATATATGATGTGAAATTTGTAAAATGTAACAATGTGCATTAATTTTTGTGCGGTGATCCAAAGTGATTTATGATGGCATATCTAACATTACAAAGCGATGGGAGGAGGATAGTATGGGAATTAATTGTGAGAATTATAAAATTGTGTATGACAATTAATGTTGACAAGGAAGAAAAAAGATGTACACTAAATGGTCTGACGATAACACATGCATGAGCGTTAAGTGCGCAGGAAAATAAAAGAAATGTACTATGAGATGGAATCTAGATGAGATGACTTCTTTCCCATCTTGTGTTTGAGGTTTCATTTTTAATTCTACGTATGATTTTCTATTGATAATGGAGGAATAGACTCTTCATAAAAAATTGTAATGAAGGAATAGACTCAAATAGTTAAGCAATATGTTTTTAGACAAATGCATAGCTAGTTAACACATATATTTAGGGAAGAACTCATTCCATCCGCGGTTTACATCTCTAAAAATAAAAAAAAAATATTTTTATTGATATTTGAAGATATATCTTCAGACACACTTAAAATAATATCACTCTTCATATTTCAGTTAATCATTTCATTTTTGTCAAAATATATTCTTGAGATGCATGTTCGTATAATCCTTTATATTCATTTATGGTGTTTTTATTCACTGAGTTGGTTTATTTAACAATTCAGTGACGATTTCGAAGATGCATATCTGAAAATATCAAACCGAAAATTTAATAAAACACCACCTTGCATGTTCTTCTTCCTCACGATCAAACTCAACTTCACTCTCAAAATCCTTAAAAGAAATTCTACCATTCTCAATCAACTTTCCAACACCAAAACATCATTCTTGTATTTTATCACATCAAAGTGAGCAAAAGAAGCTGGAATTTAAGGTAAAATTCATTCATTTCATCCTTTATTTCTTACATTAATATGGTTTTTAAACAGTGCTTTGTGAAATGAGTCTGAATATGCATCTTCTGGCACACCTCATTTTAATTGTAAGAACACCTAAACAGGGAATTTTCTGGATGTGCATCTCCGTAAAAACTTTTATTTTGTAAAAAATAGAATGTGTCCGGATATGCATATCTGAAATATACCATGATGACATGATATTGTTTTAAGGTCCAAATTGATCTAAAATTTGTATAAATAAGGGGTCTCCATTCTCATGTTTTTTTACAAAAAACACAACACACCAAATGAATACATATCTCCATATTACATTTGTGTATCTCAATGGCACAAAGTCCCTATTTAAATTTAGGGTCTCTGAGGACATAACTCTCGTCGATCTAAAATCCAAACTGAATAATCTCCTATGATATTCAAAAAATCAAAGAGTTGTCAAGCTCGGGTATCATTTACTCTCGATTGACAACGAAGGGAAGATATGTTTCACCAAGATTGAACTAAAGACGAATACAAATTTAAAGGTTATGTGGAGTATATTTTACCGTTACTCATCGAAGGGTCTGATTGAAATGGATGCGATAATTACAAGATCGAACGACATATTCTAAAGATGTTACAACTTTCTAAACCATCAGTTTGTAAAGAAATGTAATATTAAGTTTATGTTAATGACTATCTATGTAATGTTAAGTATTTTTATTTTAATTTGTATGTTTTTCCAACATTTCGCTATTGTTTTTGGTTTGACCTAACAAAACATATTTCAATGATGCATCTTTGTAAAACTCACTGAATTTTGAATTAAGGGTTGTTACAGAGATGCGTCTCAAGACCCACCTGTGATACGGTGGCAGAACCAAATGTTTAATACTGGTTTGCGTTTTGCGTTTTATGTTTGCAAAATGTCGCGGTAAGCAAGAGTCGCCACCGACTTTTATTTTATCCAATCAAGAAAAGGAAAAAGAATAGAAAAAACCTTTTTCGAGAATATTTCTGAGTACGGGGGTAGATTATATAAAGGGAAGGTGTTAGCACCCTTTCTATCCATAGTTTTCCATGGGCTCTTAGGTACTTGCTCATTTTTAAATTACTTGTGTGTGCTTGTTTTGAAAAGTTTTGTTTTACTTCGTTTTAACCCTTGTTTCTATCCTCAAGAGTGTTACGAAGTTGTTTTTGAAAACTTTAGTTTGAAAAGTTTGTTTGAAAGTGTATGATGTAAAAGATTTGTCGTTTTGAGCAAGTACCTAACAGTTATCTACCTACTCGAAAAAAGACGTTCTTTTCCTCCTATCCTTTAGACCGTGTTATCCTACTATTAGTGAGTAGGTAACCCTAGTCGTTGGATATTTAAGGGACTATCGAAAGGGACGTAATGGTCATTGAAGGCAACATGTAAGAATACCTTAGCATTTCGAATGGACTGTCATCATATATTCGTAGGCAACATCGAGAGACAAGATCATATACCATAGGCAACTTCGAGGAACATCGAGGGACCATGATCTTTATGATGATTTTAACCGAGGGTCTTTGCTAAGGGTATTCCTACGTTCAAGGGACATGACCATTATTTTCCGAGGCAACCGAGTGGGGTAATACCCTAGGGGGGCAAGTGTGTAAAAGTGATTCAGTTCGGTTATTTATCTTGAAACTAGGATTTTCTATCGTTCATGTTTATCTTTCCATACAATCCTATTAGTCTAAGCATTGCATAAAATATAGTAGCAGAAGGTAAAGGCGGAAATGTAAACCTAGACTATTACAGAGCTTTGGGGGAGTTACATAATAATGAAGAGTGCGAAAAAGAAATCCTAAAACTATTACATCCCTGAAGCAATTACATAATTAGAAAAAAAATTCGAGAAAAGATAAATTTATGCTATTACATTGATAATGCAACCTATACAATTTTCCTAGAAATTAAAATGTAAAATAATAAGTAAAAAGAAATTAAGGAAAAATTAAAACCTAAAATTCTAAGTTAATGTTTTTGGAGTTTTTTATAGAAAATAATTTTAAGTTAATTAAAAACCTAATTCTAACTAATTTTAATAAAGAATAATTTTTTTTTAATTAACTTAATGAAAATTAGCCAAAAATTCAGTTACTATCTAAAACAAAAACCTAATCATAATTTATTAAAAAATGGTTAATTAAAGGGTTAACTACAAAGAAAACCTAAAACCTAATTGTTTTCCTAATTTGCAGAAAAAAAGTTAATTAATTAAATTAAAGAGTTAATAAAAAAAGAGTTAATAATAATAAATAAAAAATTTAAAACCTAAATTAATTAGGGTTTGTAAAAAAAAGTTAAGTTTGCCAATTAATAGGGTTTTTGATTTAAATAAAATTAGAGTTTATATGAATTTAGGATTTTTAAGGAAGATATTAAAGAGAAAGAATTGATGTACAAAGGGTTAAAAATAAGGAAAATTATACATATTGTCAGGGGTGGGTGTTGACCTAAAAATTAATTTAAAACCTAAAAAATAAAAATAAAAACCTAAAATTAATTATTCAAGTTTATTATGAAAAATCAAAGGTTTCTGAAAAATATTCAGTTTTATGAAAAAGATTTTAAACAGAAAGAATAAAAATATGTAAAACGATAAATAGAAAGGAAGAAAACCAATACCAATAGAGGTGGTTGTTAAACCCACGCCCTTAGCCTCCTCAGGATACCTGCCTTGCCATGTGGTTGTTCTATTTTGTCGTCAGTGTTTTGTAATAATCCTGCATGGGATCCTGTCTAAATCCTTTTGATCACGGAGATCAAACCAGCCTTACCCTTACTGAAGAAGTAGTGAGATGTGGATTTGTAACAAGAATGACTTGTTTGTAGTGAGATGAGGATTTGTAACAAGGATGACTTGTTTTAGGATTCTTGAAAGAATTTGATATTCTGACAGGGTTGTGGCAAAGGTTTTTTTCGTCGTTTTTTTTTTGTGCGAAAAGAATGAGATTATATAATGGAAATTAGAGCAAAGATATGGGCTTTGAATATGCAATTGGGCCTCCAATGTTCACTTGAGTCTGTCACTTAAGTGCAATTTTTGAAGTTGAAATGTGAAAACGAAATGTAGCCGACATCGAGAACTAACTCCTGTCCAAAAATGGGCTCAGTCGGATAAACAGTGAATTAGTTATGAATTTTTGAAGTTTTAGCTCAGACAAACTTATTTTGGGCTCCATTGTCGACTCTGACACGTTCTTCAATAAAAAACTGGTATTGATCGGAGCATAACCCGGTCTTGACTTTGGAAGAAAAGTTGTAGATCTCTGAGTCAGTGACCTTGTGTAAAAATATGGGCCCAATCCGATAAAAATTGACCGAGTTATGAATTTTCGAAGTTTTGACCCAGATGAAATAATATTCAGCATTCAGGATTTTCGGCGCGTCACGCGCACTCTGAGCAAAAAATGAAGGCTTTTTGAATACCGTTCGAACTC